GACGATCAGACTACACCTTCACATATTATTTCTCAGTAAGCCTGCTTTCCCAAAAAGCAATGGTAATAAGCGCTGCAGAATTAACTCACCATAAAAATTCAATTTATGTTGCGGACGCTAAAGTTAACCACAAATTTTAGTAGTGGCTCCAAGCAACTCATATTCCTTTTTTAAGAACGCGCGACAGAAGATTAAAATAAATGTTAAACGTTTTTAGAAAAGTGTCACCATTTTTCTGTACTTGGAAATAATGTCATTCCCAATTGCAGGTTTGCTAAGGTTTAAATCACTTAAATTTGGACGGACGAAGCTGTCCCAAATTGAACAAAACGTCCCGAAAACGGACATGTGTCCGTTATTGGAAAGCAACGTTCAAAATCAGACGAAAGTGTCTGATATCGGACAGTACCGTCCGAAAACGGACCTAGGCGTCGGTAATCGGAGAGTACCTGCCAGATCGATACAAAAGTGTCCGATACTGGACCGTTCCTCCCGAAAACGGACGGAGGTGTCCGAATTGAACGCAAACGGAAGGCGGACAGAAAAGTCCAAGAACGGACTAAATCCTCCATAATCGATGTTCCAAAATGGGACTTAGGCGTCTGTCTGAAATCTGACAAAAGTGTCTATAAGCGGAAGGAACCGTCGGAAAATACTTGCGAGTGTTCGAAGCCTGTCGGAAAAGTCCGAAATCTCACTATGCCGTCTGATACTGGACGGTATTTTGTTTTATACCAAAAGCAACCGTTTAAAATGTAGGACGATTTCGAGAAGAAAGGAATATGTTGTGCGGAAAAAAAAACGTGTTGAACGATTTGGGTTGAACTGGCAAAGGTTAGGGCCAACTAGTTTTACGCTAGGAGGGGAGGGGTGGGTGGAGGTGGGGGGGTGAAGGTGGGGAGGACTTGTAAAGGTCACGGGCTGTGGGCGAACTTGCAATGGGGCGAACCCTCCGGTCACCTTTGAAATTTGGCGTCAAGTCGTAAAATAAGATGAATCTGTTAGAGATTTTCAACCATACGGAAACGCACCCTTAAAAGAAACTTGTTTCATTTTCTACTCACTCTGGCTCATTTTCTTCTCATGTTCACTGAAACAAGAATGATCGTAAAAAGGAGTTCTCCAACTTGATTCCATCAAGGGACAAGCGGTCACCAGCAACGTATTTGATGCTATAATCAAAACAAAGGTTAGGTACTTTCCGTGTCGAATTTCAAGCGTTGTTTATAGTTTCCAAATCGAGGTACCTGCTCTTTGCTAATCACGTGTGTCTAACGAGACCACGATCGAAGATCTTTATTCTGTTGTTTAGGATTTAAGGTCTATGACATAAATTCCACAATAAAACTTTCATCTAAGAATTAAGACTTATCTTAGAAGACAAAAACGAACAAGAACAAAACGGTAAGTCAATTAATTTCTTCTTAAACTCTTAAATGGTTTAAGAGACTTTGCGATCTAATTATCATCTTGATTAAGCAGTTTTTATTTTGTGTTAGTATGGCTGTCAATTGTGCTGTTGTTAAAAGTAATATCACTACTGATATAACGATCTTTTACGGGCAAAATGTTTTACTCGAGGAAATTTCAAATCGCCTGAGGTATTTATTATAACAACTTTAGTGAAATATGGATGGATTTAGCAATTAGTTTGAAATGCGAACAAGCTTTCGAAGGTGGCAAAACTTCATAAACAACCACTTTTGAGAAAATTACACTTTTTAATGGGAAAACGATTATCCGTTTATTGTCTTGTACAGAGAGAGATTGATGGAATGCTTTCACTTTCCTTGTTCTCACTTGTTGTTTGAAAAACAGCACAAAGACATTTGACAAATATTTCATTTTACGTCTTTGCAAGAATTACGTCAACTTTCTCTTTACGAAGGGTGGTGAATTAAGAATTTCCCCATTTGTTTGGTTTCTTTTGGCAAATGTCCTTCAATTATTGGCAAGAATTCAGGTAGGTATCGATATATAGTTTTGAGAGGCATATGTTGTCTTTGCCTTTCTTGTTCTTCATTTTGACGTGATTTGGAGCGTAATTTTTCCATTACATAATTAAATTGCTACAATATGTTGAAATATAACCCTCGAAGGCACTGACCTAATTTCTACCTGAACGGCCGGTAAGGCACCATACCATCGTGAAGATAATGTTCCTAGACGATCAATGTTGAGGAAAATATGTCTAATTGGTTATTGCACTTTCTTTCTCTTTATTTCCTTTTCCTTAGAGAAAGATGATGGACAGACGACAGCTCCTATTAGTTGCTGTGCTGTCAATCACAAGCTGTGTTTACGCCCATCAGGGACAACACACTGGTTTGTTGAAACTGAAGCCTCATAATACCTTTCGTTGCTGTTGTTTACTTTGCATCCTTAGCTAATCTCTTACAACCAATCTTCCTACTCACCCAGTCCTTGTGGATTTAAGGACATTAGTTGGCCCAACAACAATCGATATTTAGGGGCTTAACTTAATAACAGGGGGTGGGGTGGGTGGGCGTATCCATAGTGTGTCAAAAAATACAAATATTCATATACACATTCTTCAAACGATAACAATAAAACATCCTAGTATGTTGCTAAATTCCCACATAACTTTTGTGTAGGCCCCTTGTTAAAAAACGTCCTGCACACTCTTTTGACATCGCTAAATGTGCTGCAATAATTCAAGGACATTTATATTGAGAAATCTCTTAACAACACTGTCGCCAGAAGTAAACAGACTGTTTTTTAAAATACTTTTTTTCAATACTGCCTGGTCATAATTTTTCTCCATGGACACTCCTAGTTTCCCCACATTTAAATCTTCGGCTATGTTTTGAAAGTAAGAATCTATTTTTACGCTTCTGATTTCAATTTTAGTTTTTGCCATGGTACTTGGGAAAGGAGGTCAGAAAATGCCAGGTGAGCTTTCGTCTTCTAATTTAGAGATTTGACAACATGGATCAAATTTAAACATTCAGCATATTCATTGTTCCAGAAATCAAAGTCAATGGTGTCAAAATGAATCTGCGCAATCCCGTGAATCAAGCTCCAAACGAATCTGGCGCCCTCGTACAAGGTCCTCCATCAGGTACACTTATATTGGACCCTACATTGGAATTTTCACTTTGCTTTCTGTTTATTTATCGATATATCTTGGCTAATACACATGGTTCATTATAGTGGTGACAAACATTCATGATTGTGTTGCCATAGATACAAAAACTTTTATTGTTGGAGGAAAGGCATCTGATAACAGCCTTGGCAAGCTGCCTGTGATGGCAGGTATGATCACGTGACCACGTTCTAATGGTAGCAACAACGATTGTAGTTTGTACATAGTGAGTGCGTCTCCTTCGCTTAGTGCCTTTGATAGAGATCAGATGGGGAAAACACAACAGTCAAACGTCTGCACATGTGCGAGTACAGTAATAACTAGCTTGGTAGCGTGCTTTTGGTCTCTCAGAACCAACAGTTCATTTTGCAGTTGTGTGCTTGATTGCCAAGCCTTTGAACGGGAGTGAGGCTAAGGGTGACCTTGTTATGATGCAAACCTTGCTGCCTTTCAAATGTAAATCACTTTATTATCATGCTAACTAGATACAGGTCTCTATCACAACAGGGTCACCTTTAGCCTCACTCTGAATCAAAGGCTTGGCAACTAAGTACATAACTGTAAAATGGCCTATTCGTCTCACACAAGTTACAAACAACCACACAAGCCAATATGTCATGGTGTTTTAAAAGCGTATAACGTTTTTGATAAGGTCAAAACAGAGTGGTAAATCAACAGGATATTTGTACTTGAATAAGCTTTCGTGTTCGAAATGTCTTGACTTATCCTTTTCCTTACTTTTATTCCCTTTTACAAATTACTATGATATACAATTATATGCAATAAAAGGATTGAAAATTTGATCTGTTAACTGACTCAGCACGTAACAACTTACTTCTTGTACTTTATAGAAGCTTTAGTAATGCCTGCAACAAGTAAGCCAAAGACAGGTGGGTGATATCATAAATTGTCTAGAACACTAAGTGATTAATGCTAAGAGCAGAAAGTGAATGAATAAATGAATGAATAAAATAAGGAGATTAAAAGAAGTGAATCCTCTGAAAAAACCTTCTGGTAATCCAAGGTCAAAACCATTCAAAAATCAAAAAAATGAAACATTTAATATAGCCTCAAAATAATGCATACAATAAAATTAGAAAAATGAGGAGCGGCAAATTTGACATACTTATGGACTTTTATTGACAAATGGTCATTTCAGATGAGTTTCTTACCATGAAGGCGAGAAACTCACTCATCTCGTTTCCGTTTGTTAGTAGATCCTCATATTTTGTTTTATTGTCTGTTTAGCTGAAGATAAAGCTATGGATGATCTCAAATTAACCGAAGAGGAGAAAAGTAAGAATTTCACTGCTTGTCTTTTATGGCCGATATCTTTTTTTTTTTTTTAATGAGCACCACAAATACTTTGACTGTCCTATCTGTAACCTATCGAAATATTTTCCGATGGTTTTCACTTTCTGGCTGAGATAATAGTTTATAAATATCCAACCCACTCCATTTCATTTTTCTTAAACTCCTTGTGGCAAGCCTAAAAAATAAACCAAACTGTAATGAAAACTTCAGTTCTTAGAAGGGTCCTGTATTTAAAACATGGTCCTTGTCTGTGCATACGTGTTTGTAAGCGTTCAGAGGTTTGAAACTGGGGTTAGGTAGTAAGGATACAGAAGCGAGTTTATTTATTAACTCTAAATGCATTTTTGTAGAGAAGTTATTTCCATGTGAGGACTACAAACCTTATTGTAAGAATTACGCCCAGACTGGACAGTGTAGAGATGTTTATACGCAGAGGTATTGCAGAAAAAGCTGTGATTTATGCAAAGGTAAGCACTAAAGAAGGTGTAAACAAAAGTAGGAAACGAAGGTAAGATAATGTTATGTCAATTATCGTCACTGGAAAAGTACCTTGGTACGTCACTTGTCCCAGGCCTCTACAGGAAAGCTGCTCAGCCGCCTGGTTCCCAGGATTTCTATCATTCCTTTCACCTCCAAAAGGAAAGGTCGGGTTTGTTTGTCTTACAGCAGTTTCAGTGCAATACGAACACGATAATGTAATTATACATCTTTTAGTGGAGCCGGTGTTTCGGTTAAGTTACTACAACTGCTGTGCTCAGCGGGAAAGTCGCGAAGGAGGAATTGAATTCTCGATAGTAATTCGCAATTCTCGACTCACTGTCGATTTGTTTTTGCCTAAAACTTTTAATAAGTGTTTGAGCGTGGAAATTGTCGTTCAGATTTGCAAATCTCGTAATCTAAAGGGCCTTAAATAGATAAAAACTAAGAATCACAGCGATGTATCCTTTTCTTGCTCGAAACGTAACTTAAAATTTCTGATTTGCATGGCCAATCTAGTTCCTTATGGAGTGTTCATTGGCTGCCAAGACTTAGATGTCTGCAAGAAGTTTGCCGCGTCTGCCTGCATGGTGCATTGGGTCAGAGAGACGTGTAAATCAAAATGTGGAGTATGTGGCTATGGTAAGCAGAATATGAAACAAAACGAAGGGAATAATGCATAGGCCATTGTTCGTGTACGTGTCAAAACTGGCTACCGAACAATGGTCCAAACTTATTTGCAATCTATTTGGTAGCGAAACACACACGAGAAAGTAAACCTCGTACGCCCGTACTGACGGCGAGATGATTTTTCTTATTTACACAAACTTTCAGATCAGCCGAAAGTAACACACTGTTACATCATGTCAAATTACTCTCACATAGAATCAAGTCGACAAGAAACAACGCTCTGATAAAAATCCCCCGAATTTAATAGATGTAGCGGAGAATAGCCATTTTGCCGCTGAACAATGAAGGCTAAAAACAGTTTAATTGATTCCATGAGATGAAAGTGAAATCTTTTCTCTTCAGAACGTCAAGGCAACGCCCACATCACCATTGGCAAAAAGAGACATTTCAGTGACACTAACGTAAAAAAGCAAGACAAAAGCACACATGACGTAAAGAAGATTGAAAAGAAACAGAAAGATAAAGTAAAACAGCTTCAAAAAGTCCTTACGAAAGTGACCAAGAAAGTAAAGGATGCTGTGAAGCAAGTGGCAGCAAAAGTCGAGAAACTTAAGAAGAAGAACGACAAACCTTCTGTTAATAACAAGCCAGTGGTCAAACCGACAGTCAGCGTCAGCGAGAAGAGCGACGACCACGGTGACGTAAATGAAAAGAATGACAGCGCTGTTGATGACGATACCGCTGTAAGTAAATACATGATAATAAGTACAGGTTGTAAAGCTCATTACTATTTTTTTGTGTGCGTCAAAACAATTTTTTTTAAAATTTTCCCAAAAGAAAGATGTGGCTATGCAAACACGGATGAATTCCCCTTTTAGTTGAGAAGAGTATGGAGGACTTGGATACTGAAGTTTGGATTTAATGAGATTAATGAGGTATCTTTTCAAAAGTGCGAACCCAAAACGTAACAGCCATGTTTGCATTACCTCATTTACGGCAGTTTTACAACCGAGTGTCCAAAAAGCTAAACCAAAGTAATCCCAGCGACCATTCAGAACAAAGGATAATATCATTAGTAGCCAATGAGAAGTCGAAGTAAATATGAGCAAACTGCTTTAAGCGCGGGAAAACGCGAATGGTAACGTCGCCACTGTTTTCAGAGTTGCATCTGATTGGTTGAGAGGGAGGTGCGAGTTTTCTGGACCAATCACAGAGCAAGGTTTGGTACTTTCGACACTCAGTTGAAAATTGTTTTAGTGACACCTATCAAAATATGAGAGTGCGCTTGGTATCTCATCTATCTCAACAAAAAGTTAGTGAATAAGATGAAAAATGATCCAAGTATCTGTTTTGATAGTTGTTTGTTTTGTGTTTTACAATTTTGTCAAGGACCAAGATGTGAGCGGGGAAGGAAGCTCTGATGACGAGTACGAAGATGATAATGATGACGAAGATGAAGACAATGAATCAAGTGCGGCTGAGCCTGAGGACGAACCTGAGGAGCCAATCAAACTTGATACAGACCCACGGGGTGAGCCTGTAGTCGCCAAGATGGTCCATCAGCCAATCAAATTTAACGACGCTCCTCTGAAAGCTGTGCGTGTTAAACTTGTCAAGAGCAAGAAACAAGTCAAGGCTGTCAAGGATGCAAAACCGAAAGTTGAGCACAAAAAGACGGCGAAAAAAGTCAGCAGTGATAAAGTGGAGAAGAAGGCCAAAACAATTGACGAAGTAGTTAAGCAAGACAAACCAAAGATTAAAACCACGAAACCGAAGAAGCTAAAAAATTGAAATCGATATTCGTAACAAGTTACGATTAAAAACTGAAGACTTTTGTTTCGTTTCGCTTATATATGTAAATGTTACTTCATCATATTATGTAGAAGTTTTAAATGATTCTTATACTTCGGAGTAGTTTTTTTTCCTGGACACAGTTTGTTAGCTTCTATGCAGATGGAGTGCATCACTAGCTTTTAATAGTACCTATTCACAAGAAAGATCCACGCTTCCAGATTGGTATATATTATGCTGGCTTCCCTAACATGATCAGCTTATTGTAATTTAAATGATTACAGTTACTTTTGAAATTATTTACTACCTTGAGAGTCTTTAATTTGCGCAATAAATATTTTTCTGTAATGAAATATGAGAAACTGATCCTTCCCTGTGCCCTGAATTAAATACCTCCACATGCATTTGTTTTTTGTTTTGTTTTGTTTTGTTTTTTGCATTCTGAGATTTGATAGTACTTGGTAGTCATTTAGCTGTTAAAGTTCGGTCCTCCACTCATTTTGAACTATGAAAATATGACTGATTTTATAGCTTATCACAAAAAGATGACTCTATTGAGATTAAAAGGGGTAAGTTTCTAGGAAACTGCGGTGCTGCGCCGGTGGGATGTATTACAAGACAATTTGGTTTTATCAACTGAGTTGATAAAGTAAATTGGTTACCATAGAGAGTTTCTTAACTTGAAATTTCAAGCGTTAGCCATTTGTGAGAAATGTTTGGTTTGGGTGATTTATATAATGAGTGTAGGAGCTGCGCTTTCAATGGGAACATGGTAACGAGAAAAACACAAAGATAAATTATTTGAATGGAGAGCGTTCGTTGATGCCGCCGGGATTGGGATTAGCCACGTTTCTCATGAGGTTTCGTAGCACAGTTCAAGGGCTCAACCGTTATCTGGGGGACACTGATTTGATTCCGTCGGAGCATAAATACTCTTTAAAGGCTTCATTTTTCTGCTGCTCAACTGTAAGATTAAATTTGACACACTGCAAGATTAAATTTGAAACCCTGGGGGGGGGGAGAGGGGGGATTGTGGGCAAGACCACCTTGAGTTCCTTCTCAGATCATATTCATGAATTTCTTTTAAAGCAGTTCTACTGAAGGTGTTCTGGGTACGGCCAGAACGGGTAATCGCGTTGTTTGATGTACAAACCGGATAGGATTCTTAGCTAGTTAAAACAAATTAAATTTAATTGTCAAAACATATTCACTACAAAACATAAGCACGGCTTTGTTAGTATAAGTGGCAATGTTCTGGTAAAATCATTGTAAACATTTATCTTCTAAAATCGCATATTGCAGTTGCGATCTGCAAACTTCAGTTAGATGGTGTTCTTTTGAACAAAACAGGTGCGTTTTTTGGCTCGTACCCAGCTCCTGGTGGGTCAAATGTTCCTCTTGGACAAACAAGCACGCGACTCGCTAAGAATTATGGGATCACTTTTCTCTCAACTGAAAGAGCTGCCAAATTATTGTTTTAAATGTTATCATATTTTTGAAATTCAAAACAACCTTTCGGAAGGACCGTTCGCATTTTCCTCTATGTCTTCTTCATAACCATAAAATTACAAGGTAAGAACTGTGTTCATGAAAGGTTTGCATTTCGAGTAAATTGTTTGATTGTCTGAACTATACGAACTAAGTTCCAGGAACTTTGACAGAAGAGTCAATTAATTGAACAGAACGTTTCTCTATCGAACAAGTTATTACTATTTAATCGATCCATTACTCTCACGCTTGTGAAGTTGACTTATTTCTGACTGCATATCTTTAGACTGAGAAATAAAAAATCTCCATCACTATCCCCTAGTCATAAGACACGCAATTAACACCAATTTACGCTGTTATTTGCTTAGTAGATTTTTTATTTCTGTTAGATAAATGAGTTTTGTTCCTATAAAGTATATAAGAAATACCTTTTACATTATCTCTGCTTTTTTGTTTAAAACCGTATGCACACTGATTAAAACATCGATTATTTTTGTACAGAATTTTAGAAAAATCGCAACCAATTGCATGCATATAAGAGTTCATTTTAGTAACCGACCCGATCTTAACAACCGGTCTATAACCTGCTCTCCTTTGTTAGATAAAGAAAACGATGAAGCTGACGGCGACGAGATATGGTGTAAAGGCACTGTTCATATTACTCTGCTGTGCCGTACAGCATGGATTGTTGGAGGCTAAAGGTAATTACGAAATTTATCCACTGAAATAGCCCAGTTTGAAATATTCTTAATTCAATTAATCGATCTATTGACTCGTTGTTTTCATTCTCGCCGTGATCTTTACCAGCTTTGTATAATGACTTATAAAAGATAATGCAAACGACAAATAAAAAGTGATAACTGCAAAACGGCATTGAAACGAAAAGCTTCAGTGAACCACAATGTTTCATAGACGATTTCGCCACTAAGTATAATGATTTTATTGTTCTCCTGAGGAAATGGTTGTGCTCTGATCACTGTGAATTATTTATGATGAATATTTTGGCCATTTTCAGTTCGAATGGCACCAGCTGAAGTTTATATGCAAGTATTACGGCGAGACCTGTCTTCACTTAGATTTTAACAAAACAAACTGCAGGAGAAAACGCGAGAACGTACGTCAGATCCACAGAATAGCCTACGACTTTTTATGGGTTTTTAAGATACGCTCAAACTAGATGGGTGATCAAATAAAACTTTGCGGAATAGATAAATGTAGTCTCGCAGGTCAATGAATCAATGGCAAACACTGCATAACCCGCTCAGAAGCTTTTGGAAAAACGTACGGAGCAAAATTGATGCACAGTTGACTCAAACTGGCAAATATAAATGTTCGGAAATCTCTGAAATACACTCAAATATTTTAAGATGAAAGCAGTGCAGGTCGTCTTGTTTTCGCCGGGTACCATCAGCTCTGTCGAACACAGTTAGATTATACATTTTCCAGGCTTTTCGCTTTGCAATATTGAATTGTTCTGTTCACTAAATCACTTTTCAAAAGCAAAATGGACTTCCCATAGCAACTTCCCCGAATGAAACAAATTGTCAGCGCAACCACTGACTCTTCCCCAGACGTTGATCAAGATCATGGATGGTACCCAAGATATCCTTCAATTCATAGGAGAGCAAAGAGATTGAAAGAATTACTTTTTTAAGAGGGCCTTTTATAGGTTTATTTTTCTGTCGCAAGAAATGAAAAAACAAGCAATAAAATGATGAATAATCCTTAAAGGTAGTTCAATATTCTAAAGAGAATTGTCAGATTTTTTTGTCACTATTTTACGGCTGGTTTTAAAAAAATAAAACGGGTACTTGTAAGTTCATTAAGAGAAAATCAGCTTTTGAAGAGAACACCCGCTTTGTCAATGAGATCACAAACTGCTGGGGAATTTCATCTCCAAAAAACATATGATGGGACTCTTATTACAAATCTTGTTTTGTGTACTGAAACACAAGTGGAACTGTTTGTTTGTTTGTACACAACTTTGCCATGGTTGATGACATGACTTTGTCCTAAAGGCGGCGATGTTTATCGGCGACTGAGCATTCTAATACGGAGAAGCAACGAAAGATTTTGACTCCGATTAACACGGAGAGAACTAGCTAAAAAGATGTACAAGGAAATTGCCCATAATTATACCCTCTTTCCAAACTTGGAGTATACACCGACACGAAAAGCTGGAAATACCTTGCATTTTAAGCAGTCTATGCAACAGCTTTTCTCCAACGAGGAAACGCAATATTTATAGAATAAACAGACCCCGAAAAGATGATAAAACATCATATTCGATAAAGAGAGGTGTCAGGATTTCCGGAACATCATAATTCAAGATTTTAAAGAAATCTTGTTTTGGGTCAGAGTGGAAGCACGACTTTTTTAGCACCATCCAAACGCTAGAAAGCTACTGGAGACTTTTTGAAAGTTGTAAGCCAGTCTATGCCATGTGCTAAGTTTCCATATGCCACTAGCCGATATAAGAATGAATGAGCAAACATCGTGCTTTCGCATTGCACGACTTATTGGACCAGTAGCGAAGAACTTCCAGGTGAAATACCGCCAGTCAGAGAGGCTAACAGAGCTCAAGGCTCTTACTTTGATGTGCTAGATTATTTACTTCTTTTTGCATATTTCAGTGCATTTATCAAGTCCTTCCTTTCCTGATTTTCCCCTAAACAGCCATCAAGAAATCAAAACACGCCGTGCACAAAAGTGGAAGCAAGAAAAACAGTGGTAAATCTATTACCTATGATAGTTTAACTGCCTATCAGTTTCCTTCGGATCTGCTTCCAATATCATCCTGAATACAGTTACTAACTGAAATCTCTATTCAATTTCTCACAGCCCCAAAGGGAGAATTTTGTGTCAACCATTCTTATTGCTCTAAGTACAGCGATCTCGATTGCGCTTCGGAATGGGTTCAGCTAAACTGCCCCAGAATGTGCAGACTCTGTGAATATGAAGGTATAGAACTATGTTTCATCACAGTACAAGGATCACCCAGCTAGTTGTCTTTGTTTATGGATTGCTACTGGTATCGCGCAAAATAACTTTTCTTAGGTTAGAAAACTCTGGTGGACCCACTCGTATATTTAAAAATACATTTTCGCACAAAACAACGCTAGGAGTTGCGTTCCACACCAGTGGATTCATGGTACATTTGGACACAGGCAGCCATATTTTTTTTTTGTCTAGAATTGATAGGGATTTGCTAAAGCTGGTATTTTTAAACTTGATTGTATCATGAAGTTTTTTTATTCCGACACCATTTACAGGTCCTGAATTAATGAAGCTTCCTGCCGTCTTGTATTACAAGAAGGGAGACAAGAAGCACGGAATAAGTGGGTCGAAACACAAGAGTAAACACACTACCAAACACATAGAGAAACGAGATGATGGCGATAGACGCGATGTAGTCTTTCTTAGTCATCCAAATGACTATTCACCAACCAAACAGCCCGACCCTGTCCCGACAACCAGTTACAGCCTTTTTGACTACCAGAGCAATTACAGGAACTGGTTATTCCTTTACCCGGATCAGCATCCTGTTAATTTGCGTTACGTTGACACAGGAAAAGCTGCCGACCCTAATCAGCAAAGCACGGTTCAGCAGACAGCTGCCGGTGCCCAGGATGCTCCTGTTGCATCCACTCCTGCTGGACAAGCTGGTGTTGCTGCCCCTGCCAATGGAGGTGCATCTGTGACTTCTCCTGATGCAGGCGTCACCCCTGCAGCTGCCTCTACTACAGCTTCTGCAGCTGCACCCGCGACTGTTCCTGCTACTGATACATCTGCAGCTGCTCCAGCTGCCATAGCTGCTGCACCCACGACAGCTCAGTCAGCATCTGCAGCTGCTGCTCCTGCTGCAGGTGCAATACCAGGTGTTGCTCCTGCATCGACTCAAACTCCTGCTGCATCTAACCCAGCGATGCCACAAGTAGGACAGGCTGCGGCGACTGTTCAGCAGCCTGCGGCACCAATTGTTGCCCAGAAACCTGTCGCCGCACAGCAGCCCGCTGCAAATGAGACCATCCAAGTAATTAATCAGACAGTTTCACTTGCATCTAATACAACAGGCTTTGTACCATCTGTGGCAAACGCGAGCCAACCGAACCAGACCATCATGGCTGGAGCATTCACTGCAGGAAATATGACCTCTAACGAGACTGTTGCCACAGGTAATGCATTCTGAGTAAATATATGGAAAAATGCTGATATGTACAGATTTTTGGAATTAGGTTTAGTGTACATCAACTTTAGCACAACGGTCGTATTACATAATGACATGGATAATTCTGAAATTCTATCGAATTTTTTATGATCATCCAAGATTCTCAAGTGTACACAAATGTACCCTCCTTAGGTAGCGCACCTATTACGCCCTTGATTATATCTTTTATGCTAAATTTTCATGTTTCTCAACCACAACTGAAATTTTTTACCATATTTTCGGTTTCAGTGAGGAGGCTGCTTTTGCTTTTAGTCCCGAGTAGTTTTTCTACTTTCAGATAAGAGTGCAAGTTTTACTGACTCTGGGATCAACCAGTGATATCAGTAGTTTATGGTTGTGTTGTTCTTGTTATCGTTTAGCTCAATGTTGCAATGCTAAATGGAGACTTTCAGTGTTAATATTTTTCTTGCACAAGGTAACATCACCACATTAAATCAGTCTCAACCATGGGTAGAGCCACTATCACAGAATTCAACACTGTCACAAAACACGTCACTGTCAGGGAATTCTTCATTAACAAAAAATTTGACACGATCATCAGCACTCGGACAAAATCAAACTAGTCCACTGAATACAACATCACAAAACGCACCGGCCACATCTGCGCTTCTGAAAGACAAAGCATCCATAGATGAATCACATGAATCGCTAAATACTTCACCATTGTCGCCATTCCACTTATCAGAAGAAGAGGTAACTTCACAACACGAACTTCATGTTGTCAACTCGGATAGGTCGAGTAAAATGCAAGGAAATTTTAGACCTAACGCTGCAAGTGTAACCTTTTCTGGTCCAGGTACCTTAGATCTGACGTCTACTGGACAGTCCTTTACTCAGGATGTCACTGTAGACCCACAACAGGCGGACTCTGAGAATGCTGCTGATTACCCATGGACGTGCTGCAAGAAACAGCCGAGACCAGAAGGTTGCAAAAAGTGCCCTGACATGCCAAAGGCTCCACCATGTAGGTAGTCCCATGTTTATCTTCTTGCGCACATTTACAGAATCAAGGGGCCTTCGTACGTTGGAAAAAGAAGATAAGTCATTTTAGTTATAAAACTACTCTGTCATCCAAGTGTTGGGGAAAATGTGGCGACGATAAAAGAGGAAGCCTGCAGTTTCTGGACCAGAGCTTAAAGTTAGGAGTCTCATAAGAAGATTATCTATACTTACAAAACATACACCAATCTGCAATATGGGAACAAAGTGTTACGCTTACTTATTTGTTATATCCTTGTCATCAAATTTGAAATGTAAAACAATCGTGTCTCCTCTTGAAAGGAACACTCAGCCTCCTTTTTCAAATTGCACGAATTAAATATTTTAATTTATCTTATTTCAGTGACCCACATATTCGGCGTTTACTGCAATGACTTGTACAAGGACTGCGCTTATGGATACTCCAACTGTAACGATACCTGGTGGCAGATTAATTGTCCTAAGAGATGCAACCTTTGCAAAAGTAAGCATTTGTTAAGACGTTTGGTTGACCACGGACCAAACATTTTTCCTTGAGCAAACCAACGTTCCACATTTTCGAACAGTCTGACATTTTGCTACCTTTGAACACGGGTTTACTTTCTTGCAGCCGAGGATGCGCAAAGCCGCACCGAGGCCACGCAGACCAAGGAGATTTATCCATCTGAAGTGAACGATCTGAAGGAGAACGCCACCCTAGAATCGGATCTCGTTGCACCCGCCCCAGGAGCCAAGCCTCTTGTGGCCAAATATACTCTCAGAGTGAAGCCCAAGTTATTGAACGGTGTGCCACAGACACAAGAGATCCGCATCATGCCTCCAAACAAGGCTGGGGTCAAAGGATACGTAAAACCACTTATGGTACTGAAACAAAATATTACTAAGCCTATGATTGAGAATATTGAGATCGACATCCCACCAAAAGGTGCAAAATTTAGCTCCAAGCCAAGCGTAGAGGTCATTGAAGGAGATCATACAGAGATGCTACAAGTAAGCAAGGGACAGGCTATTGTGGAGGATCCCGTGCAGAAGTCACAGACGGAGCCTGAAGGTAAGATGCAGGGTGAGGATATGCTGCAATTATTTTAGTTTTATTCCATAATACAAGGGGAGTAGTTCTTGCAGGTAGAGTGATCTGAAACATGTATGTTTTATAAATTAATTGCTTTTGTCCGATTGAGAGAGAGCTTCGGTCTCTCTCAACAACTTCTGCAGATTAGCCCTAAAACGATATCCTTTTAATTACGTTGATTGTTGATGTGTAGAAAAGAAGCAATTGGGGTTGAAGCAAAGGCTGTTATTACTAATCTAAGTTTTATGTTAATTGCTGAGTTGCATCATTATTTGTATATAATAAAATTTAAAGAGTCCAAGCCCGAAAAAGAGGCAAATGATATAACTGCAAGCAACCAGACCGAATCCACCCCAGTTACACAAGAAAATGTAAACCACACCATCCAAGATCAAACAAACACACAGACTCAGTCTCCATTTGACCATCAAGCGGCAACATTGGCTGACCAGACTAACCAGGCCCAAGCCACCACAACAGCCCAGGCCACCGCTGCAGTTCCTGAAGCTGCCACTGCTAGCGCATCAACCCAAGCCGATGCCATTACCACTGCAACCACCCAACCGGATGCATCGGCCACTCAAGCGGCTGCTTATACCAACAGTAAGTTACATTGTCTTTTGGGTTATTTGGTTTTTTGAAGTTGTTACAAATTGTGCATAATTTTTCTTGATTACGTGTTGTTCACAGCCCAAACTTGTACTGATGACGGCAGATGTGCACCCTACACCGCTGACCGTTGTGCAGATCCATGGTTGAGGGAAAACTGCAAGAGCATGTGCAATCTATGTTAAATACTACAAGGTATGCAGTTTGTTGTACGTCTGAACGAAAATAAAGAGGAAAGAAGATCTTCTGTGAATGAAAACCTTTAATTACCGATGAAATACCAATCTGAGAAATTGGAATGATGCTGAGTTTAAAGGAAACGTTACTTGAAGTTCTTATGATAGCAACAAAATAAACTTATAATTAAGGTGCCGTACGCGTAATCCTGTTTAAATGGTGATGAGAGGGGAGGGTGGGTGGGTGTATTACTTTCGTTTTTGGGTGATAACGAGAAAAAGCTGAATACAATACCAGGCTGACTGAGACTAAAAGCCTGCCACATTTTTACTAGGGTAATTAGAGAAAGAAAGAAAAGCCTTGTAAATTGAGATTCCGTCAGGATAAAACGGAAAAATTTTGTGAGTGAAGAAGAATATTTGTATCACACGATGACATATTCATGGATGAGTCGAGAGTGAAAGGGGAGTGTTCCCAAAGCCACATGGACTCAAGAACGAACGGCGAAAAAATTCCAAAAATACTGAATTTTTTTTATCTTTTACTCTTTGACAGGTTTGGAAGTGACTGGATCTTTTTTCAGTCGTGTGAACACCGGAAGCAGCTGTAGATAAGAAACTCTTAGGGCACCAAGTCGGCTGATTGCTTCTTTACATTTTATTACTTTGCCGTGGGGTTTTTATCCTTGACTTAGCAGTAGATTAGAGTTGACCTAGCTTTTCCATTAGCATAACTAACTTTGATTTCTTCTCTGCACGAGGCTACTTGTAATCTGCAGTTTGCCGTTCTCAGTTCAACTTGGGAAAATCGAGTTATCACTGTTACTTTAAAATCGCCTTGGTACGGTGTTATATATTTAGTTACTAGAATACTAAAATCCCAATTTTTTCCGAAGAAGTGTATCCGTGGTGTGAGGTCATCGTGAATCAAACATATAGCTATTCTATGAGTGCGAATGTCATATTTTTTGGATTGCTAAATTCTATTTCGCTTGTGAAGTGCATGTTTATTCTTTAAATAAAAATCGTCATAAATAAACTTTCATGTGTTCTGAGCTGTTTCGTGAGCAATTGTTATTGTCGTCCAAATTAGGAAAGGATGTCTGAATTAACGAACAAGTGAATACATAAATGAATTGAATTAATGAATGAAGAAAGCTGGCTGAAGGAATGAATGAGTAAATGATAGGTAGGTTAATTGATTAAGTAACTAATTGTAAGGAACGTTTTCCTCGCCCTTCAGCGTAGCTGCAGAGAATTCGCCCAGCATCTACATCCTTTTATTTAAACCCAAAGCTCTTATATCCAGAAAATTACAGACTGTACTTCCTTATATATCTCACCAAATCCAAAGTTGTACAGCTTGCATTTTAAATTTGGACTGTCATTTTCACTTACGCGTGACTTTAAAGAGATCTACACTCGTTATTTTTAGGCTTGCATGAAAACTTGTCGTTTGCACTGCAACAATTCAATATTCATCACTGACCGCCACATTCTAACGGTGGAACATGTAATGCGATCGTCCAGATGAGAGGAGTCTTGAGAATACCGTTATCATTTTAAGTGACTGGCACGTTTTGGTAACCCGAGTGGAAGTCATTATCAAAGCACTTGACTTTTACAATGACTTCCGCTAAAGTTATTGAAACGTCAGTCACTGTTGCCAAAATTTGCTCTCACCCTGACGATGTCCCGTATAATCCAAATCTACCGCTTGGATTAAACCCTTCACTGTCGTTTTCTTAACTCTATAACGGAATTTTGACTTATACTACCGCACACGTGCGTCATGAAAAAAGCGGACTCGAGCGATAGGTATAAGGTTTCTACTTACAGGCGACCATAATGGAAAAACCTGGCGTGTTCACCATCTGACTCGATAGTTGTTTTTTGTTTAAAATACCAATGAACATACGTATCAGCACTGTAGGTCTTTAAAGTAACAAAGAGATGTTTCCAGCTCATTAAGCAGAAAGGTCACCAGTAAAAAGCCTTCCTAAAATTTTCGTGAGCTGACATCTTCAAACTTGTCAGTCTTTGGCGGGGAAATCCATTAGTGACCGACTGAACGTTGTCTTAGTCCCGAAGAAAATGATAAAAATCACCTTGTTACTCGTGTGCTTAGCCCTAACTGAGGGAAGAAATATTCAAAGATTTGTTCGAGGTAAGTGTTGACACTGGTTGGCTACTACCAGTTTTGAAGTCAAAATAATTTGGAATTGGCCTCCATAATACTATTCTAACGGGTAAGTCTTGGAATTTGCCTGAAGAAAAACAAGAGTTCAGACTAAACTTCGTCAGTTTATTGATCCAAATCGAAAAAGGGATAAACATGAAATGAATTTGATATAAAAAGATTCTGGACGAGGCTAAAACCGAAAGATCACCAAAAACCACTACGAAGGCCAACTTGCTTCGACCCCGAAAAAAGGCCAGAATCCATAATTAAATAATGTTTCCATGCTTGAATCTTGAGTTGAAGAAACCAGTCAAATCCATTTGATATGTTGTTTTTATTTTATCAAACAAAACTCATATATCGAAGCTGGCTCACTCTACAGTGAATATAAAATATAATCGATTTGCGATCGCGTTTTTCTGAAAGTTTGGAGAGACTTTTATCATTCAAAACCACGTTTAATTCTTTTGAAAGAGGCAACTTTATTCCGATGAAACAGTGAGGCAACGAGGATCAAAAAATGTTTTTAAAATTAAGCTTTTGATCTGAGTGGAAAGTTTTCATATGAGGGGCATTCCACGCATTTTTCCTACAGCAGTTTTTACATAGCAACTGCCCATGCGTGTCGGATTTGACAAAGTACCTGTACATTGTTGGCCTTTAACTCGTAGGCTTGGTTTAGAGCGTTGGGGGTAAAGCAACGGCAGATTTCTGCTCTGTTTTTTTGTTATCACGAGAACCAAGATACTCATACCTGTTCATTTCATTCGTGTTAGGCCAGACGGAACACGTTCAAAGAGAGCAAACTCTTGACCTCTCCCCTAGTCTGTTTAACGGTAATTTTGGCGTTCAGGGTTTGGTCCAAAACGCAGCCTTGTAGAGCGTCTCAACTATTGGATATGTCAGTTCGTTACACCTGTTGAACTTGCAATGAACAGTTTCAAGAAAGAAAACGAACAATAAGGCTTTGGTTCTGTTTTCTCCTTTTCCTGTTCCTTTTTTTTAGCCACGATTTTAGCAATCAACGAACTGATTTCGAAAAAGTGTGAAAAAGTTTTGAAATTTGGAAACTGAAAAAAATTGAAGTACATGGAGGCCTTTTTTACTCATATTGCAAGTTTTAAGGGATTTGAGTTTAGTCGATTATTACACTGGTTTCTTAGTTTAATATTTTCCTCTTTTCATTAACAAAAGAGGAAAATAGAAACGACACAGCTACAGATCTCAAGGATGCAACAGGGAGTGCCGACGATGCCCCGGAGGTTTCCGAGTTCCAGGCGGACTTAGTCGCTCCTCCCTCGGGACCTAAGCCCCTCGAGGCAAAGTACACAATCCGAGTAAGACCAAAGTTGAAAAATGGCGTCCCACAGATCCAGGAAATCCGCATCATGCCTCCAAGAAGTAACTCCACCAAAGGATACGTTAAACCAATGATGGTGCTAAAGCAAAATGTAACAAAACCACTCATTGAAAATATCGAGATTGATGTTCCTGAGAAGGGGGTCAAGTATGCATCGAAACCAAGCGTGGAGGTCATCGAAGGAAACCACAAGGAGAGGATGAGAGTCACCAAAGGAGAAGCAGTTGTGGAAAATGCTGCTCAGAAGTCTGAGACGAATTCGGAAGGTATGAACCACCTTTAACAATAATTAAGAAATGACCATAGAATGACAATTGTCTTTCTGTATCATAGATAAACAAGACAAACCCCAAGATCAGCTTGGTTCCCAGAACGCAACACAAGCATCCAAGAATGTATCAGAGCCGTCGGCTTCGCAGAATTCGACAAGTCCTTCGACTTCTCAGAAAGCATCAGAGAAATCGACTTCTCAAAATTCCGCAGGCTCACCAGCTTCCAAAGATGCACCGCAGCAGTTAAGCCCAAAAGGTACAACGGAGAAGGATGCTGCTAGTTCACCACAGACACCAGCTGCCCCTCAGAGTGCGCCTAGTGCCGATAACAATGCTCCTCAAGCCCAAACTCCCGCCTCTGATTCAGGGTCATCTCAAAATGCACCTCAGCAGTCGCCCTCCAAAGATTCAACAGCTTCCACACAGGTTCCGGCTGCCCCTCAGGGTACGCCTAGTGCTGATCACACAGCTCCTCAATCTCAGACCCCTACCTCTGATTCAGGATTATCCCAAAATGCGCCTCAGCAGTCGCCCTCCAAGGATTCAGCAGCTTCCACCCAGGCTCCAGCTGCTCCTCAAAAAACACCCAGTGCTGACCAGACAATTCCTCAAACCCAGTCCCCCGCCCAAGCTGTGCAGGCTGCTCCTGTCGCCCCAGCTTACTCGCAGCCAGCTCCAGTAGTCTCGGCCCCTCCTGCAGCTGCACCTGCTCCGGCTGCCTATTACAACGGTAATGAACGCTTTTATTCTGTTGCTGCTCCAAGGGTATCATTTAAAACTCATTTGAAAATTTAAAGAAAATATATTCACTAATGTATCCTTTTCCACTTCAACAGCACCTCAAACTTGCTCCGATCACAGCATTTGTGGAATCTATCCTGAAGACCGCTGTAGGGAATCATGGCTGCAGACAAACTGCAGGCGCAAGTGTAGACTTTGTTCGAAATAAAACCGATCAAGATCTTAAAGTTAATCTGTTTAGATATGGTGTTTAACGCTACTCGAGTGTAAGCAACGAAAGAGAGCTTTAAAGCAAAGAGAGAGAAAAAGAAAACAACAAACAAAATATATAGAGCATAATTAGTAGAAGACAAACTCGCCAACTTAAGCCAAAACAAAACAGCAATTAGGTAAAAAGAGAAGCAAGAAAGAAAAATACTGAAAAAAATGAAAAAGACGAAAAAGAAAATTCAAAATAGACTGTACGCTGTCATTCAAGTATCTTGTTTACTGCATGAGATATTTTTCCTGTTGTGAAAGGAACCTCTAAGAAATATGTTAAAAGTTAAGTTTGTAGAGGTCTTCAGCCAGTTCTTTGTTGTTGCTTTTAACTTTTTTATTTAATTTTTGGCGATCAAGCTATCTCTGTAAGTGAGAAGAGAGTTCATTTATAGAGCCTATCATACTATCCTCCTCTTTATTTCAAAAAAGTGTATTTTTTTTTTCTGATTTCAATGTCCTGCAAGTCAAAGTAGTTGATCACTTCAAGTGACAAGAATTTGATTACTAATTAAATCCTGCAGCAATTCCGTGGTCTACCTGAATTGATCTTTTTTTTTTCAGCGAAAATATAAGTGTTTTGTTCGGAGTAAATTGTTGGTTCCGAATTTGTTTGCGTTTCTGCTTTTTTTTTATCGGCAGAAATATTAACAGTTTATTTTGAAGTCTTTTTTAACCTCTAACACCCAAGATCTGATTGTTAACTCTCCACTTTAGCTGCTACACATTTTCTTGCAAATTCGTTGCGAGAATTTAGTGTTCGATCAAAATGCTGGCCTCTATCAGATAACTTTGAGCATTCTCGTTACTTGTTTGCTGAATAATGCTCAGATATTGTAAGGAGAAGCTAGAATTTAATCACTTGAGGAAGTTAAAGGGTTCAGACATTTCAACCAGCAGTGAAACAGAGCCAAATTGAGAAGACGCTTAAATGGCAAACAGACGTGTATTGTTATGTAATTGTTTAGTTTAGTGTTATATAGTTTAAATGATTTCACAGGCTTCCATGATAATTTACTTCAGTTGTTAGTAATATGTTTTAAAACAGAAATAAAGATATATTAAATCCCTGACTCACCTTTGTTTAGTTCTGAAACAACGCCGCTGAAGAAAGAAGAAGGCTGTCGAATTCTCAAAAGGGCCTGGTTTGGTAGTGATCAATATATTTGAAGATTTATACGACGGCACAACTCGCGTCATTAAGAGAAATTTTCAATTTTTTTGTCGTTGGGCTTTTTTTTTTTAATCCTACCCTTTCCAGTAAAAGTCTTTAAAGACCATTGTACAGTAAATTTGAGTCCACAGTTAAGTGAAATTTTGTTAAGAAATCAAGTTGGCATGATCCCGCCGAATTCCAGAAACTATTTTTTGAAGATTTAATGCTGAGTGGCACCACTGTGAGGTCCAAACAAGGAGTTGTGGATTCAACCCCAAAGGCAACGTACTACAGACATCTGATGGTATTCTAAGTAATGTAAAAATATCGAAATTGAGGGACTGAAGTAGTGTAAGAAAAGCCAAGTTTTGTTGGTGGTAAATTGACCGCCATAAGAAATGGTTCACAAAGCAGTATATCAGAAGCTGAGGGGATGATAAAAGAAAGTCTCTCCCTCGTCCTAAGTCTCCTTGCTTGTATCAGATCTATTTGTAGGAAAAGAAGTTGGCTTTTAAATACATCCTTGAGGGTGTCAAGATCATTGACCGCTGCTCCTAATGGTCAAAAAGATTATTTTTAGAAGCGTGGCATTCAATTTGTGAACCGAATGCCATTAATAAACACATTTACATTCCTGACATTTACAAGGCCCTTGGCAATCCCAAGTGACGTTTCTTCGGCTCTTTTTAAAGCACTCATTTGCTTTCGTAGCCATTTTATTGCTGAAGAAGGTTATAGTATTTTAACCGAAACGTCCTCACACAGCTTTTAGTCAGTGACAACAAAAATATTTTTATTTATTATCATGCCTGACTACATCTAGAGTATTTTTAAAGTTGGCTTTTGATTAGAAATAAGTATCTTGATCCTATTGGCATTATTAATTTCGCTGACTTTCTAGAGGGCGACTCTATTTACTCTTTTTCCACTTTTGTTCTTATGGTGAAAGTTTATTTGGATAATTTTTTCCCAGACTTATTGGATACCAAAAAAAATCATGGTACAAATTGACGCTAAACTTCTTTGGTAATGATTTTTAATTATTTTCGATAACGCAAGTTAATTTCTTTGAGCCATAAAATGTTTGTACTTGGAAGTTCGTCAGTGCATACATGCATATATGTGCACTTAATCCCACTGAAAAAACGCACCGGAACCTTTTAGAACATATGACTTGTACTGTTATTGATAAAACTTTGACAGAAAGAGCTCAATTAATCTGTAGTAATTCTTTACAATCTAGTTGGTAAGAGAGTCTGGGTATAATGGGACCAGCTCAGCGACGGGAAATCAGTAGGACAACATGAAGGAACGAGGTTGTGGGCTTTATGCGAGTATGAACTCAAGAATATTTGTCACATTTTTACGCGACCACCTGCTGTCATGGATCGTCAACAGCGACACGGGGATTATTTAAATCACTCATGGAATGTCCTTTGCCGGTAACAATCAATTAGTTACCAAGGTGATAAAGTGCATATTTGACTTGAAGTTCTCTGGAGGTAATAGCTAGGCAATTTTAAAACTGATAGACGCATCGACAAACCAAAATGAACGGTGGGATAAAAGGCACATATATTCGCAGGATTTGATGAGTGCTGTTTCTTTTTGCACGTGCATTGTAAACAAAGGTGATTGCATTTCTTGACTCAAAAGAGTGCAGTATTTTAAAGGGATCGAAGTAATTAGTTAAATCACGAATTACCGTCTAATTCACCAATCGGCGCTCACTGAATAAGGCAGGTGCATTTTTGTACCATATGGATATGTCTACAAATGGCTGAAACTACTGACAGATGTCCATTCTTAACTTTTAAATAAAGGCATAATACTGAATCGAAAGCTTGAAATGAAAACAATTGATCTTGTCAAGTGCTTTATACTCCAGTCTCAATTCGTGGTAGTTAAACGCGGTAAATGCCTATAAGAAGTATTACTTAACGATCTAACAGAATTTAACACCATTAAATTGATCGATTAAAGGGTGCTTTGAATCAAATTCTAGCACAAGTTTCTTAGTAATGAAATAATTCACCTATGACGTCAAGCGTAAAAAGGTTATGGATCACAGCGGGGGTAACAACAGAATTGTATCACTTGAAAGACAACCAAACTCGGTGTCATTGATGCTAACTTGAAGATAGAGATCTTCTCCTCATAACATGTCCCGTTACCAGTTTTGGTTGATTTTCTTGGCTGTGGCTTTGGTAGATGGCAGGCCTCGACATCACCGCAAACATAAACCAGGTACAAATAAAACCTATGTAAATTAGTTATTGAAAACGGGCGCTCGAAGGAAGAATGTTTACCAGAATTTTCTGTCCAAAAGTGCTGCCAAACGCGATGTTCGACTATAACGTTTTTTTTAAAAACCTGTCGCTTTTTCGCTTCACTCAAACGTCTTATTATGACATATGAAACAAAAATTGTCTACTTGCGTACAAATCAGAAGACAGGTTAAAATGAAGCATGGGAATTTTATTTTGACGATGTTGAAGTTTAAACACATTCATCGTTTCCGTTCATAGAGAAAGAAACTTTTTTTCGTTTATTAATACACATGTTCCAGTTTACAATGGTTTGCATTGAAAGAGAGAACAATGCCCTTTATTACAAGATTTTTTCTCAGACCACTGTTTATTTATTCATGACAAGGATGTCACTACCTGCTAAACTGTTTTAATCGCTTTTTAAGTTACTGTTTTTTACCGTCTATTGACTCTCTATTTAGCTTGTAATAAATGATATAATTACTTGAACTCATGAAGTTAAATATTTCGAGTCCACTCCATCACTGCTTCTCCATAGGTTGCAATTTGACCAAAGTATATGGACAAAATAAAACGGAATTGCCTGGCTGATAGGAAAAAGTGACTTCGTGAATTTTGAGCCATATGAGTTCATGATGTAGGCTACTGCTGAAACAAATTTGAGCTCGTGACTAAGGTTTGTGATTCACAGTGTGACGATAGGTTTTTGCACCCAAATTTAAATCTCGCGGAAGCCACAACAATAACAGGGGAACTAGCTTAGTAGAGACGACTCAGCAACGAGAACGGGAACTCGTCACGATTCCCTTGTACAGGCGATCTCTTTGAGTGAACTTTTACGGATGTCAAGGACGAGACAACCCTTTGGTTCCACGGTAAACTTTATTCTAGGTCAGGCCAAGAACTGACGTGACCTTCAGCGTACTCAAGTTCGTAATCGAAAAACCCTTCACAAAGTACTTACTTAAACATTGAACCGGTGTGACAGAGGTTCTATTGTCCTCTAATACGTATGATGCACGATCCTTCGCAGTAGATAGCGCTATTTAAGCGATAGCGAAAATCAGACCTGAAAAAAATCAGGCCTGTACGGGATTCGAACCACTGACCTCTGCGATACTAGTGCAGCTCTCTACCAATTGAGCTAACAAGCCAACTGGGAGCAGGCCGTTAAGTTGATTCGTAATAAACCAATAATGATAAATCAGATACAATGAATATATGAACTTCATATATTCATTGTATTATCCTCTAAATTGATAATATTTAAAAAGGATTACAAAAGAACGGAAAACGTCTCTTGGAAACATTTATATTATTTATACGTTGAAAATGAAAGAGCAGGTTCAATAAACTTTAGGTCATTAAAAATAGGAAACTTAGGTGAGAATTTACAGCTTTGATATCGAAAATATACCCATGGTAATTAGAACAGAGCAAATTATAGAATGAAATGAAAGATACAATTAAAACTTTCTGCTTATCTAAGCAAGGTTGGTGTAAAGTTTAATCGTAGGAAAGGAATTGAAGTTACGAGTATAAACTCAGCTTCCAACTACCATGAGATCCAGTTTTTCCAGAAATATCATTAACAGTTATCATTTTACCTAAAATTCCACTAATAATGAACAACAAAAGTACCGAGATGCAGTTGTACAAGGTAGGTTGATTATTCAAAAACTTTTGTAGCTTTTTTTCTATATTTTTAAAAAATCTCAATGAAAGGAACTCGCATGAATTGAGAAAGGCCAGAATACCGAAAAAAACGAATAAATATGCTTAAATATCCACACGGAAAAATCGCTAAATTTTCCCGTAACAACAGAGACCAGAGAAAAACATATAGAAAGATTTTATATCTGAAGACCCTGGAAAATGAAAAGGTAGGAAGAAATTCTTTGATTCGA